GTGTGTGTGTGTGTGTGTGTGTGTGTGTGTGTGTGTGTGTGTGTGTGTGTGTGTAAAGGGTTGACAGATAGGAATTTGGAAGCCGCCGGGGACAGAACATCCTGTCGGGTGAGTAGTAACACGTGTTTCTTGCACAAGTCCTCTCTGTACAGTGGTGAAACAAACAAACATGAGCTCTGGACTTGCTTTCAGACCCACTTTGTCCCGGCCACAGTCTCCAGGTGGGTGCAGCAGGTGGGGCTGACTGACCAAACTGGCTCACTAAGTCTCCCAGCACGGTCAGAAAGAAAAAAAAATGCTGCTGAATGTTTCTGTCATGTGAAGAAGTGAAGCGATGTAAAAAGAGTTCACACACCCTTCATGTTAAACCTCTCTTCCTGTGTCCCTTCAACAACTGTAAGGCAGTGAGGACAGGCCTGGATGACGTGACACACAGAGACAAAAGGTTCTGAGGCTCTTCATTATTCCACATTCCTGGCTTGAGCTCTTCTTCTTTTTTTTGTTGTTGTTTTTCCCCCCCTCCTGAAAGCAGCAGARTCATATGCCTCCATCTTTTTTCTCTAATGTGGGTTTCTCCCTGTACATACTGCATCTCTCTCTCTGTTTCCCTTCCTATCTCCAGTTCCTCTTTTAATCCTTCATCACTTCCTTCAAAAAGTCTCGTCCTCGACCCTCAAACTGCATCACTATCTGCCAGCATTTTTTCTACTTTTTTATTTCCCCCTCTTATTCCCTTGATCCCTGGTTCACAGCGTGTGTTGTTCAGCCGGGGGGTGGTGGGGGTGCAGCGAGGGCGGCAGCAGGGCTGGGATTGGAGACTGCGGGGTGGGAGGCGGGGAATGTGAAGGGGACTGATATTGATGATGATGATGATGGTGGTGGATGGGGGGGCCGTAATGCGGGATGACGGGCGGGGTGGCGGGGAGGACGTAGGGGGCCGGGGACGGAGCCGGCGAGGACGAGTAGACGCTGGCCATGCAGGAGTAGGCGGAGGTGCCCCCGCTGGACAGCGTGGAGTTGGGGGAGCCGGTGAGGCCCTCGGCCAGCGGCTGGTTGTAGAAGAAGAAGGAACACTGATGGATGAAGCTCTCGATGATTGTCTGGTAGGTGCGGGTGGCAGTTAGAGCATCCATGGTGGTGAAGTCCGGTCTCATTAGGGTGGGCCAGAAACAGATGGACAGGTTCTCACTGGTCATCAGATTCAACTTGCTGTACTGGCTCACTCTGAGGACGAGAACACAGAAAATGAAAATCATTCCCYTCAATTTTAGAGAAGACACGACTGGCGTGTCACACGAAATCTTACATTTTTAACACTTCAAGAACCTTTTAAAAGTCAAAGTTCTGATCAACCAGCAGTTCAAGAGTCACTCTCTGAATATACAGCGGGTAAAATAAGTATGGAACACGTCAACATTTTTCTCAGTAAATATATTACTAGAGGTTCTAATGACATGAAATTTTCACCAGATGTTGGTAACAACCCAAGTGATCCATACATAC